ACACATCCTGTGCCCATTCCCTGCTCCACATTAAGGATTTTCCACCACAGCCACAATCAGTTGAGCAGCTCTGGCTCATTGCTCATGTTTTTCTAGTGCKCTACACAGGAAGTCAAAACAGTTTACATGAACTCTGATTAGAACAATTTGTTGCTCTTCACAATAAAAAAAAAGCAACAGCTTTGGAAGTTCAAAGAAAAAAAATGTATTGAAAATTTGAATTTGGAAACAGCTTCAAATAAACTCCAAAGTTTGTTTTACTTCCATTRGCTTCTGCTTCAAAGACTTGGGCTAACCTGGACTAATGGGAAAAGCCTTCATGTACCACGTGTGTTGTCGTATTAATCCYTGCTCTGGTTGTTTGTGTGTGCCTTCGTTTGCTTTGTGTACTGTGCAGATGTTGCATCTGATGTGAGAATAGTTGAGGGGCTCTTAAGTGGAAGCCAGGATCAGGAGATGAATGGAGTTTCTATGACACCAGACACAAGCACCTCCACTCCAGTAGCTTCCTCTGACTCTCCGTCCTCCCCTGACGCTCCGCTCTCAATCAGCCCGGATTTTTCTTCATGTTGTTTCTCCTCACCGCTCAGTCGCCTTCTTTTTCACATCTTTTGTTCCTCCATCCAGTCTTTCATTTAGTTGAGCTCCTCTGACGAAACAGATCAATGTAACACTTCCTTGTGCTCTCTCAGCCTCACGCCCCTGTTTTCTGTTTCTCCTCTTTTTTTTTTTATCCTGAACAGACAACCGCCGCGTCCTCCTGGAAAGGTCTCGCTCACGCCACAATGCAAACTACCAGGGTCGATGATCACCCGCGCCTACCACAAGACGCTAGATAAGTGCCAAAGAGGCCTGCGATGAGGAGATGAGGAAGACGCTCCCCCGAAGGAGGGACAGACCACCTCTCACTGTGGCACACACACACACCCATCACACACACACCACCAAGTATAGAACAAAAAACTGAAGGAGGAGACGTTTTACATATTTATTCATTAAGTTGTCATTGCTTTAAATGGCTATGTCATTTTGCTTTGATAAAAAAAAGGCTTCTGCTTCTTGAAAAAGTATTTAAAGTTTAGGAAAACCTATTTTAAACCTTTTGTAATCAAAATACCATGAGTCAATCTTTATAAATGGATGTTCTTGTGAAGCAGTTTAAAATACGACACACTTTTTAACAAAGAGACGCTGGCAGCTGTCCTTTATATAAAACCGTTGTGTCAGCAAGTCTCAACTGAAGAGGGAACAGCTTGTTAATGTTTGTTTCCTGCCTGTGACAAAGACAAGTTTCAATAATAATCATGTCTTCGCACTCTAACGAACTGTTCACTGTCTGCACATGAGATGCATTTTACTTTGATGTCTAATAACTAACAGCTTCAGGTGCTGATCCTGAGGTCATTTTAGCCGTTTTAGCTGTTAACGTGCAGATTTTTAAATATGCCTCGCAATCTGGAGGAACTTRCACGAACCTTCTAATCTTCCTTTACGTCACACAGGTTTCAAGCGAGGGACACTTCGAGACACAAAAAAGTATTGCAACATTTTATAGCGCTTTTAAAACTTGAAGGCAATTTAAAAAAAGTTTAAAAAAAGGAAACTTTCCAGTGAATGTTGCCCCTATTGACTTTTTAAAAAAGTAGTGTTTTGTAATAAAAACAAGAGCATTGTGGTTAATATAATTTAATTGATGTAAATAGAACATTTTGTTTTACTGTATGCAAACTGACATATTGCCAAGTATACTTTACTATAGGACCGTCTGAGTTGTTGGCTCACGTATTTTGTAGTCAGGTTCTGAGGAAAGGTTATGAAAAAGGATCATTTTCCCTGTAATAATTAGCTCTTTGTACAACTTCAGTTTGGGTAAATACAGTTTAATGCTGACCAGAGTGGGGTGCTAAAGGCTGGTCCAAAARGGGGTGGAGCCAAAACCAAAGTGGATTGCCTCCATCTTAAAATAACCATCAATGTTTCTCCCCATATTAGCTAAAATATTAGTGTTTCTTTAGACATGCTAAAGCTAATTGCTGCCGTTTGTGCTTCCAAATGACAGTCCAATGCAAACTTAATGGCAGCATAAATGTTTAAAGTATTTTTCATAACCATTCTCAGAACTATCACTTTAATGAACCACAAATGTTACATAATAAATAAAAGTGCAACTCTATGGGGGGAAACGATAAACAGGAAGCTCGTGCTCGTGGGATCTGTAACACCAGAACAATAGTTCTACCTGGGAGAAACGGCCTGACGCTGAGATTTTAAACAACTCATTAAGAGCTGTGTCTCTATGAGCCCTCKGTTTCTGCACAGCTCAACATATACTACTCTGTCACACATTCATGCTGAGAGTGTCTCCTCGCTCCACTAAACTGTAAGCAGATGCTGCTAAAAACAACTTTTAAGTCTWCGAGGAGCCGGGGCACGACCGAAATTACAGACTTGAGCGCTGCAGCAGACAGGATGAAGCTTGTCTTAGTAAGTGCGTCTCCAAACGCCATCCAATTCCCCAGCACTAATGACATAAGTGACCTTTTTTACCATTACACAAGTTTCTTTACTAATGCTAGAACTTTGCTTTGGGCTCTGTGTGTTTCTCTTTGGGACTAGTGTACGTGTGCGCTTCATGCCAGCTCAGTAATCAGAACAGGAACCTGGGGAAAATAGGATTCAGTGTGCTTGACTCCCGGGCTGAATAGATGGAGATTTTTCATTTAAGCAATCTGCCAGCGCTACTTGTGACGCGTCTGCTTCACAAAGCCCCCCCCCTCACAGCCCGCGTGCTTCTAAAAATGCAATTTTACACATCATCTCGGTTCAAGGTGCACCCACAATGCTCGGGGAAGTCTGCATGTTTAAGGAGACAACATGCTCTCCTCAGACTCTCCTGTGAATATCAGGTTCCAGCAGTCACACAGAGGAAGCAGGGAGCTCTCTGGATAAGGACGCTTTGTACACAGCTGAAATAAGGATGTGTTGTCAAAGCAAGTGACTTCCTCTTTGTAATCACTTCTCGCTATCACACTTGTATAATTTCAAGCATTGATGAAAAAATACCTGTTTTTTTATTTATTAGCGCTCCAGCTCTCCTGTGAGATCAGGTGTTGTTCTCTTTCTCAGTAGATGCTGTTTATAATTCAGTTACTTTATTTGAATATTTTAACTACAAATTTTGTCTAATAATTAAACAGAAAAAGTCCATTTTAATTTATTGTTTGTTTGTTTTTTGAAATTGTACAAACATGCTAACTTTTAAAACATTTTACTTTGGTCACTGTTCATAGAGATCAGTTAAAATTAGGTTGTGTTGTGAATATGATAGGTATTAGCTCAAT